CTTTTGTAAACAACTACACCAACCATTTAGTCCATTCCTATAGAACCGAGTCCTGGGAACGTAACCCTATCAGTGCAATATTTATGTGAAGTAAAATGAACCGTAGAAAATGAGTGCCCTTTAAACATATTTTTAAAGATTAGGAAACAAAAAGATGTCCTAGGAGCCAAATCAAGACAGTAAGGTGATGTCTAATAATTTCCCATCCAAATGCTAGCCAAATTGCCCTTGTCTGAGGAGAAGAATGAGTAAGAGCATTGTTGTGGTAGAGAAGAACTTTTCTAGCATTTTTCTGCTAAAGCTGTGGCTAATTTTCTCAAAACACTTTCATAGTAAGCAGATGTTGTTTTTCTTTGGCTCTCTAGTAAGCCAACAAGCAAAATGCCTTCAGCATCTCCCCCAAACTGTTGCCACGACTTTTGTTCTTGATCTGTTTATATTTGCTTTGACTGGACCCCTTCCACCTCTTGATAGTCATCGCTTTGATAGTGCTTTGTCTTCAGGATCATTTTGGTAAAGTCATATTTCATTTGTTACAATCTTTGAAGAAATGATTTAGGATCTTGGTCCCACATGTTTACATTTTTTCACTGAAAACTCTATTTTTTGTGCAGCTAATCTGGGAGTAACAGTTGTGGCACCCATCGAGTGGAAAGTTTCCTCAACTTTAATTTTTCAGTCAGAATTGTGTAAGCTGAGCAGTTGAGGTTGCTACTGTGTTGGATAGTGTTCTCCTGTTAACCATTGGCCCTCTCCAAATAGGGCAAGACCAAGATTAATCCTTTCTTCAGAAATAGATATGGGTAATCTGCTGCAATGAGTTCCTCTTCAACATTGTCTCTGTCTCCTTAAGTAAGTTATCCATTTATGAACTGCAGGTTTCTTAGGAGTATGGTCCTCATAAACTGTGTATAAAGCATCAATGATTTAAACATTTTTACCGCCAAGTTTTACCATAAATTTGATGGTTGTTCTTGCCTCAATTTTATCACAATTGATGTTGCTCTGATAGGGGTCCTTTTGGAACTGTTGCCTTATCCCCCTTAGTGCATCAGATTAGAGCCTGTAGTAACTTAGTACAACTTT